TCCGTTGGTTGTAAAATTACCGAATGTCACATGGAAAACCCAATGGAAAATAAAACTTAGCCAGGAGCATTAGACGTCATAGTGCGCGCCAATCAGAACACAGTAAAGTGTGTTAAAGGTTAAACCTCGTGGCAAATGTTGAAAAGCTGTGAGCAACAGTGAGTAAAAAACGGAGTAAATGCGGTCGAGCATGACTAGCCTTCATTCGGCAAGGTAGTGATTTCTATACTTCCATTTAGTATTGGATCGCTTTGCAGGTTGTTCTGCTTCAAATTATGGTAAACAATAAACAACGTGACCTGTAGAAATCATAAAAATTTGTACATGATTTGTCATCAGTATTATTTAAAAGAAGAAAATTCCTACTACCAGAACAATAATATCAGATCAAAAGTTTACCAGTATAACTCTGTCTGCTCTCCTTCTCTATCGGAGAAAATGTAGGCCGTACGTAAGCCTAAACGACATCAAAATTCGAACATACTGAATGCCCACTAGGTAGCGAACTAAACGCAGTTTTAAAACATGATCGATTTAATAATAAGGTAGGATATAACAAAACAATAAAGTTCTAACATTGTTTATTAGTAAATTGCAACATTGCTTACGTGTTGAAAGCTGGTAAACTATATTTCAATATTGTTTACGCATTGTTTATCAGCCCGACGATCCAGCCTACGATCAAAATAACAATGACCTTCGTATTGGTTCGTAGCTACGTTCAAAACGTACCTACGAGCATATTACGAGAGGTTACGAGCAGATACGAAGGGATAATTTGTGTCTGTACTGTATACCCCTTAGCTTCAATTAAAGATATACTCTGTTTTAAATAACAGATTTGAAAAAATCTAAATCAAGAAGTAAATTACTTAGTAATAGTAAAGAGACATTTAAGTTGAGAATCAAGATAATATATAACAATGTATAACACTGGCAAAATAGTACATTCACACATGAGTCATACAATGACCAATGTACAGTGAGGTAAAGTTCATCCCTGACTCAGACACAACCTGTTTGATGTTAATTGTATGTTTGTGTTGAAAATGGCATGAAACCACATTAGCCTCAAAATTGGGTTAGACAGCAGGAAAGGCCTGGTACCTTTATCCCCTTCCCCCACAAGATAAAGGCTACTCTTGTAAAGTAAATATATTTGTTCCTGCTTGATTCTTGTTCAATGTATTAATGTGATTTATTTCTATTACAATCAAACAACACACAGTAAGTGTGAAACTGAATAGCTTTGTGGTTAAGATGCTTGCCTTCCAATCCCAGTGTCCTGGGTTCAATTCCTGTCACAGTAATACGAAAAAATTTTGGCTTTTGATTTTACAAAATATTACAATATACAGTAGGTACATTTTCTGACTGTAGGCCTACAGTTAAATTGAGGTTATTCAACACTAAAATACTACCCATAGTTGTTATTCTAAAAAGCTCAACACTGAAATTCTTAAAAGTAGTGGCTATTGTTGTGATCAGCTCACTAATGTTATTCTTTGGGAGACACATTGCATGGGTCATATTCACATAATGTAGGTCAGGCTATTAAACACAAGGCAACATTTGACAATCAATGCACACAGTGTTTGATAAGAACAGGATGCTGAATACTATTTGTAGTATAGCCACACCAGTGTATAATACTTTGCATAGGGAATAAATCAAAAACTTGCTCAAAATTGTGTGAAAAAATTAAAAAGATTATTGGTATGCAAAATTGCAAACACTACAGCATTCACGTAGGACATCTGATAACATCAAAAACTAACCCAAAATTGTGAGGAAAATTCTTAAGATTATAAGCGTGCAGAATTGTAAACACTACACAGTTTTATTTTGAAACAGGCAAAGGACTTAATTTTTGCCAATTTTGTGCGGAAACTGCATACCCGCCAACATTCGAATATAAAAAATAGGGACGCTATTCATTGGTGCCACGCTCCCACCCCAAACAATTTGTAAGATGGTAATTATATACTGTAATTCCTATAAATTTGCTTTAAATAAAAAACAAAAGTTACTTAATTTCAAATGTACTGTTTATTTACCTCAAAACCAACACAAATATTTAAGTTACACTTTAATCAGTATGCCTACAGACTGCACCATGAAGGGCACGCACGGTATGTTGCTTGTTTCGCTGATCTCATAACGTTATTATTTAGCCTAGACGAATGACGATATCTCTGTTCCACATTGCCAGCTTCTTGTGTGTCATTAAACACATGCTAGCTCGATGCTTGGTCTTGTTTTTTTCAACAATACAGAAAACTCTCTCGCAGTCATAATTGCTTATGAAAGTTTGGGTAAAGACTGGCCTGCCGCGAGGCGCCTAGGCCTACTAAACTACAATTAAGGTGTTCTCTTACTTTGATGCTCATGTAAAGACTGATTTCTTCGCTGGAATATTGGTTATGATAGGCTATTGAATTGTAGGCAATTGTTGAAATGCATCTGCACCTCGCAAAACGATCATCATTTTCGTCTGTTCATGCACAAGGGAATTTCGGGTATAATTCCACCTCCCAAAATAAAAAATCAGGCCAATTTCGCGTTCATTGGGGGGGGGGGGGGAAAGGAAGTGAGGTTGGTTGGGATTATACCTGGGGAACTATGGACTAACATCCCCTTCATCACACTGGCAAGTAGTGGATTCTTCTTACAATTTAAAAATTGTTTGTTTTTTTTAAATTGTAAAAATAGGGACGTCTCCATTTTTTGGTGTTTTGACATCGGAAATTGGGACGATCCCGATTAAATCGGGGCGGTTGGCAGGTATGAAACTGGCCCAATTTTTTTAAATGTGCAGATGAAGTTCTTAGATTAAATTTTTGCATGGGGATATATTCTTATCAGGATTCTTACTGTCTGGACTTGTGCTAAAAACAGTACAAGGATGAATAAAAATGATAGTGTGAGGTCTGATGCATCATTTAGGTAGGTTTAATGAAACTTTGTGTGTAGCTTTCAAACAAGTGATATAGTATTAACTAATAAGCTAAATTTGCCACAAGCAACAGTTTACTCAACATTCGGAAAAACGGTTGAAGGTCACCTACCCCCAAAATGCTGAAAATCCAATTTATCTTTCATGCATGTACTGTATTTAATTAAAAGTATTTTAAAAGTGTCAGAAGGCCTGCGTATTGCTAAACTTTCAAACCCTATCAAAATCTCTTGATTATGATTGTATCTAGTAGTTTGTGGCTCACTTGTTATCTCAATAAAAAATTTAAGTTTAATGTTCATAACAATCTCTTTTTTGGGGTAAAATTTTGATTTTTTTTTTATAGAAAATATACCGCAAACCTCTAAAAACACACTGCAAACCCCATTTAAACCCCTTGATAGTGATTGAATCACGTAATATATGTCTCACTTGTTATCACAATAAAAAATTAAATAAGTTTAATGTTCATAAGAACCTATTTTTTTAGTTAAATGATGATTTTTTGTAAAAAATACCTGAAATACATCTGCAAACCTTCAAAAACACGACCAAAACCCCTTGATTGTGATTGTATCGTAGTTTAATACCCACCTGGTACCTCAATAAAACAAAACAAAACAAAAAAGTTTTTGGAGGTTTGCGGTGTATTATCAGGTTTTCTCACAAAAAAAATCAACATTTTACCCCAAAAATCGGTTGTTATGAACATAAAATTATGCTTTTTTTTTATTGACATACCAAGACAGCCTAATAATACATGCATGATACATTCATAATCAAAATTTGGATGGGGTTTGCAAGGTTTAATAGCGCTACCCAAAGGCCTCTGTACGCAGACATCGTCGTAAAATTGACACACTCAATTATTGGTAACAAAGAAGCAAATCATAAGTATTTTTGGTATTGTGATAGAGTTCCTTTTTGAAAATTCTGAAGAATTTGACAAAATTGGGTAGACCGGGAGATTGCATTTTTCCCAATTGAAATGGGAGAGTTGGAACTATGCTGACAGAGTAGATTTCAGAGTAAAGTTTAAAGTTAGGTCATGCCAGCTCCACTGCACTAATCAACACATCAGATTTACATAAAACCGTCAGAACAATAATATCCACAGCCTAGCTCTAAATGAATCTTTCATTCAATCAAGCCCTTTTGTCTCATTCACATCAACAATTTCCTTTGAAAAATACTGTATTAAAGGTAGAGCTGAGCTAAAGCAAGTTCAAAAACACATTTACGTTTGCTTTCGCCTAAGCCTACAGTAACACAAGTAGGCCTACGACGGTTCATAATCATGACACTGACAAGGCCGGGAACGCGAAGCCAAAGCTTATCAACACATATCGCCCACCTTGTGAGGCCTAGGTAGGTGACTAGCCTAGCTAGATAAACATGCATATTTTTCAATCAATGAATGCAAATACTACAGTCATTATCTCTCGAACTGAACACACCATTCACAGTAACGTAAAAAAAAGTATTGTCACAAGGATTATCAAACCAATTTAAGTGCAAATTTATTTCATTTTCAGCGCACTTTGGGCGTTGATTTTCAGAAACAAAATCACGATTACCTTCATCATCTCCCTTCCGGTATCTCGATTACTTTAGATTTGGAGTACACAAAACTTAACAAACCCGAGAAGTAATCCAAGTAAAGAAAGTCCACTAGGCATAAAATAACATGCTACTAACCTTAAGTAAAAGGCCTTGTGGACCTTGTTGATATATTAGTCTTTCAATGCAGAAAAGTTATTAATTACCTCGGATTCGTTATAATGAAGACACACTCACTACACCGTACCACCACTGCGACGCAACTGAAGAATCAAGATGGCGAACCTGATGTACATACGCGATAGCGTAACCGCAGATTATAATTCGCGATAAGAAATAGTTCCCCAAATTCATACATATTGTATTTCCCCTTTCATAGGTTTTTCCTCAGTATAAAGCTACGTATAAAACATACACATACTTTAATAATACTTATGTATTCAATGTAGAGTTATTAAATAGTTAAATTCTCTTAAATTATGTTGTAAGTATTGTGTAAGCGTACGACCAAGGAGAGTAAAACGGCTTTTTTAGTCATTGTAATGGAATGTCCATTCTTCTAACATATCAATGTTTTCGAAGACTAAATTGCATTTTCTTCTCATATTATTGCCACACTTTCAACACCGTATGGAAAAAGAGCCGAATAATCTAAAGAAATATTTATATTTAAGCAAGAAAACGCTTCAATTTGTTGATATACTGATTTGGATTCCCTTTAATTATAGAGGTCGCTGTTCATGATTATACTTTTGGTCAACAACCCTTTTTTACCTGCCGTATTGATAAGAAACGAAACCGGAACTATGAACTTTCTTATAATTAATCATGGTGTTAATTGTGTAATACTAGGCCTTATTATTGGACATTTCCGCCCCCAATCTTTAAAAGCATTTTCAATGATTTCTATTTTTTATTTAAAATGAGGTTACCGTCCAGCCACTGGCCAAGCCATCCCATATTTCCAATAATTGATTAGGCCATGGAGGAATAAAATAGAAAAATAAAAAATAAATAATATAATAAAATTAAATATTTTATTCCACCATGATTAGTTCCATATACATATTAGATTGCCACACACTAGATCTCAATATGCCAAAATTTTATGCAAGTGATCAGTTGTATGTTCAGTTAACACTGAAGAAAGTGCCAGGGACAACCGAAATATTTATGCTCGAATAAACATTATGTGCCAGAAATACATTAATCCTTGTTTTCTGTCTCACTACATATGATTGGACCGGAAAATACGTGGCCACATCGCATATCGATGCCTAATTTATATACATATACAT